CAGAACAGCTTCTTTAAAGTCCCTGCCCCACCCTGGGGGGGTGCCTGGGAGGCTCACTCAGTTAAGCGTCCCACTCTTGATTTCAACTCAGGTCATGATCTCATGGTTCATGAGCTCAAGCCCCACGTGGAGCTCTACGCTAACAGTATGCAGGCTGCTTGGGATTCTCACTCTGTACCTCTCCCGCTTGCGCACTCTCTCGCTCTCTCAAGATACACATTTAAGGTCCCTGGCCTTCTCACTGACCAACGTCCCTTCACAGGAAACAAGTGCACATCTACGCTTTCCTACTCCGCTGCCAGCACAGCTGCAGCCTGCTGGGTTTGTGCATGAGGTGGAGGGAGAGGTAGAGGGAGAGGTGGAGGGAGAGGTGGAGGGAGAGGTGGAGTGGAGAAGTAGCTCACGCGCCCTCAGGGGCCTGATACAACACTGTCGCCTGAGCCCTGGAGGTCACTTCACGGCAGCCGGCCCAGACTCAGACTCCACCCTTGTGCCCCAGCCTCAACCCACCGGCCTCCTTGGCATAGGAGCCTCCGCTAGGCCTGCCTTCGGAGGAGGAGATGGATGGGAAGGGAAAGGCACGGATCTGGGCCAAGGGAACCCTGCCTCCAGGGTTTCCCTACAGCCCACCCAACAGCCAGCACCGCCCGGCTTCCTTCCAGTCCCTCGGCAAGAGGTCAGGGCAATGCTGAGCTTCCGCCACTCCACGGGATGCGCCGCTGGCCTGGACCCCGGCCAGGCCTCGGGGCCCTGGAAGCCAACTCACTGAATTTGCTCTCGTAGCTGTAGTCTGATCCGCCCCCGCCCCCGGGGGAGCTGTAGGAGTTTGAGTAGGAGGAGTAGTTGCCTTGTCCATGATTATAGCCCTTCTGCTTTCCCTGTGGGGGGCCGTAGTTGCTGTACTGGCCCTGGTTGTAGGACTGCTGCTGGCCTTGGTGGGACTGGTAGCCTGAGCCGTACGAGGGCTTCTGCTGGCCCCCGTGGGGCTGCTTCTTCCCAGCGTGTTTCGGGGGCACTGGTGAGTTGTAGTTGTCGCCTTGGTAGTAGGAGCCGTAGCCAGAGGAGCCACCACCGCCCCCGCCGCCGCCACCACCGGCATTCCCAGAATGCCCTCCGTTGCTGTAGAACTGACCTAAACAGGAAGGCAGCGGGTCAGGCATAGGATGGGGGAGCCGGGGGAGGGGAAAGACAGGGAAGGTCGTGGCTGTGGGTCCTGAAGGCTGACCCGCAAGCCCACTGCCCAGGCCAGGGCAGAGGAATGGAGGTGGGAGGGCGAGGAGCAGTGGCTCCGGTCCTTAAAGCAGCCTGGTTTGGACTGGTCCAGCCTTCAGCTCCACTCACCCATCAGCTGATGACAACAATGGATCTTTGCCAAGCAGCGGCAGGACAGCACGCCAACAGCAGCTTTTGCAGCGGATGTCAACATTACAATGAGATGAGATCCGAGCGCGAGATGACATTCACGACTGTTACCCAGATGTCCCCAACGGTGACAGGGAAAAAAGCAAAGCCCCAGAGAAGCAGCCGGCCACCCCCACCTCCCCCCCGCTGTGCTGGGAAGAGGCTCTGCAGTCACAGGCCTGGGTGACCCCCAGACATTTAATGAGGCCCCTAAACCTGGTTTCATTCCTGGAACAACTAGTCTGACATGGTTGTTGGAGGAACAAACGGAGACTTGGCCAAATGACCTGGGGCGTCTCTCTGGTGTGACTCGTGCAAACGTGGGGGAAAGGAGACTGGCTAAAAAGTCAGGATCAGAACATCCAGGCTGGGCCTCAAGCTACAGCCTCAGACGGCCCCCCCAGAGGGCCCCTCCTTGTTCCCAGCACAGCTGCCGGGGGCAGGCGGACCGAGCAGGATTGACAAGCGTGCAGGGAGGCCGCCACATTCTCAGACCCTGAAGCTGAGAATGTCACAGTAAGACTCTCCTTTGGTCACCAGGTGTAGATCCCACGAGACAGGTATGTCCACACCCCACCCCCACCAGACACTCAGGTGGGCCGATGGGGGATGGGTGGGCTAAAGTGCGGTGGGAGGAAGGGGAGGCCGGGGCGTGTGGGTGGCTCTCGAGCCCAGCAGGGCAATCCCCAGCGCTCACGTGGGGGCAGCGGAGCTCCTGGCTCCCGGGGCAGGGGTGCCTGTGGGCACACCTTTGCTGGTCGGTGCTGCCCATCTACAGACAGCCTGGTGCCCCTCCACCCCGCACCGTGCCCAGGGTGAGAGGGAGGGGGAGGGACACTCCCACACAGCCTAGCCTTCCTTCCCACTTAACATCAAGGGTTCCCTGCCTTTTGGGTAGAGTTCTAATTTGGGAGTCATCACGTGCCTTCCACCCACTGGAGATGTGCACCCCACACTCCCATGTCTTGGATTGTTTGAACAAGAATTTGGATAAAACTGACCTGTGACATCAGTTTATTTTCTTCAGGCGGCCTCCTCCACCCCTCCACCCGCCCCCATCACAAAGCCAAAACACCAAGAAGGACATGGCCCACGATGCAAGGGAACAAACATGCGGAGGCCTGGCCAGGAGGCTGGAGGACAGGAGGTCCTCTTCAGACCCCCTCTCAGAACCCCGCCACCTCGGCTGCCCCACAGCCTAAACTGAACACCTCCTCGTCCCTCCTCAAGCACAGGAATGAATGAAGACGCCAAGTACTGAGGACTTGTTACTTTAACATGTATTGATTAAAAAAAAAAAAATAAAGGGGGGGGG